GAAAGATGCGAGACATCCACTTCCATGATCCGGTCCAATAATGTTGTCAACTCGAGTAGACGCTCCTCGTATGTTGCACTCATCTGTAATTTACTGAGACACAGCTTTTGGGCCTGAACGTGACACATTGGACACTGGTATTCCTCAATGACAGCGCACGGTAATTCCATATTCGCAATGAATCTTGATCATGACAGCAACTTTTCCATTGTTCTTGAAGAAGATCACCTCATTGCTGCGAAGCCGACACAACCAGTCTTCTGGACACCGAGGGAACTTCTCTACAAATCGATTCCATGTAGCGAGATGTTTTTCAGGAGACCAACGTTGGTTTTCCACACCCCTTGACTTGATAAATCGTTCGTAGAAGTATAGATCGATTAGGCAAGCGTCGTGATTCTCGTTGAACAAACTTGTGGGTATACTGGAACAGTCGAACAACCGAACCGGATACTTCTTCGTCACCCCAGCAAGGTCAGCATAGTCTCGATTAAACTCGGTCATCCACGGGTGGCGGTGAACGCGTTGTGCTGCCTTTTCTTGGAATAAGTGACGTAGATAGCTTGGGAATGGGTGTGCCGTTTCAGTGACTGTTCGGACAGCCGTAGCGAATACGAGTCGTCGCACCCCTGAAGGATGATTACCGGAATCAATAGCTTCTTCGATCTCAGTCGCGTTCGCCTTCCCGTTCGAGCCCATAACTCCTGCTTTCCGATGGAGGGGGTGAGCTTGACACGGTGTCGTTATCATCGTCATCACGGTACTGACTCTCTACAATATACAAAAGTTAGCAACTCTAAAGCACCGAACAAAAAAAATGTATTCTACTAGTTGGTACCAGTAGAATGTTTCTCCATCTGCTTCTTCGTGGCGGTCATGATTTGCGCGTTCAATGCTCAAACAAGCAATCGAAAGCAAGCACTATCCAGTGAATGCGACGAAAGCTGCTTCGCTGATACGCTGCGCTACGATGTGGATGGAGGAAAGTCCTTCACGAATACAGTGAGGACGACCACACAACTCCACGGTGTGCGTTCCGTTCCAGAGACTGACTTGAGCGGTTGCCGTGAAATCTGGAAATGGCGAGAATCGAGCAGCCGCGGCAAGTAAGGTTTTTACATATGAGACTGCGCGGCAAGGTTTTTTTCATATAACCTGGTGGTTTCAGAGTTGAAGGTGAAGTTGAAGTTTGAAGATCGTGATAATAACAGGTCGTGCAATCACGTCTTGATCAACTCAAGGAACAACCTGAGGAGGAAACAGATGAAACAACTGAAGAGTCTACCAAGTAATAAATAACGCAT